GCCAATAGCTCAGGCTTCTTATTGGCTAACTTTCTCTTAATTATGAACCCATTTCTGTTAATATGTTTATCTCCATATAGTCTTGACTTCCTGGAGAATGCCTCTGTGTCCTACCTTCCTGGAAGCTGCATGGCTGTCCCTCTGCATGGCTGTCCCTGCCTTTCCTCTCCCATTTTCTCCTCGTCTGGTAGCTCTCTCTGCCTATGCTTCTTGCCTGGCTACTGGCCAGTTAGCATTTATTCATCAACACATAAGAGAAACATATATTCCCAGCATACAGAAGGACATCCCTCATCAGTCAGTGGGTCTTTTCTCTTTTTCTTTCTATGTTTTGAGAAAGGGTCTCACTGTATAACCCTGGCTGTCTGGAGTTCACTAACTCACTATGTACATCAGGCTGGCCCTGCACTCACAGAGATGCCTCTGCCTCTGCCTCTCTGCCTCTCTGCCTCTGCCTCTGCCTCTGCCTCTCTCTGCCTCTCTGCCTCTCTCTGCCTCTCAGCCTCTCTGCCTCTCTGCCTCTCTCAGCCTCTCAGCCTCTGCCTCTGCCTCTTCTGCCTCGCTGAGATTAGAGGTGTGCTCCACCACACCTGGGCCTTACCAGTGTTCATCCTACCTGTATCTACAGCCTCAGGAGCCAGCAGTCTCCAGGCTCAGTGTCTGGCTATAAAGTGATGATGTAGTTAGGACCAAATGAAATAAGGTCTGTGGATGTCAGTTATTGCTCTCACTAGGAACACCATCAGAAGTTTGGCCTGGTGGCAGAGGCCTGTATCCTAGCCATGCAGGAGGCTGAGGTAGGCAGATCACAAATTTAAGGCCTTCGTGAGCTACAGACCTTTTTCCAGGTCATTCTGGGCAACTCAGGGAGACCCTATCTCTAAATGGATGAATAAATAAGATAGGGCGGGATGCAGCTTAACTACAGTGCTTACCTAGTATGCACAAGGCCTGGGGTTCGACCTGCAGTACTGCGAGAAAAAAAGAAAAAAGAAAGAAAGGCTGTCAGGACCAATGACAAGCAGTCATTGCTGGCTCCTGAAACATGTGGTCCCTCGAATAACATGGTTGTGTCACTGAGCATTGTGCTACAAATCCAGAATCCCAGGCCCTACCCCATACATCTAGATTTAGAAAGTATGTTTTGACAAGATGCCCAGGCATGTCTTGTTGGAGACGTGCTGTTTTAGGATATTCTCTCCAGGCCAATATTGGGCAGTGCATCTGTAACCATTCCTACGAGGCGACTGGGGACCAAAGACAACTGTCACTGTCTTGGTTAGAGCAATGTCCCTCATGTCCCAGAGCAGTGTCTACTGTACATGAGCATCCTTTCCATTCCTCTCTGGAAATGTATTTAAGTTTCAGCCTGTGTAAGGATGGAGGAGGAGGCAGGGCAGGGCGTGTGGAGAGCCGCCTACGGTGTGGCTTGCTGTGGCTAATGGCTCCTTGAGCGGGACTCAGGACTTGCATCACCGCGTCTTTCCGCCAGGCCTGGTCTATTAACACTACCATTCAGGGAACAGATGCTCAGGGTCCTTCACCCATGGACAGGTGAGCCGTGAGGTCTGGGATTCCCCAAAGCCACCCGCCAGGAGAAAGCCTGTGCAATGTGGTCCCTGCCTTTCTTTCCTCTGCCCTCACCTTCCTTGTCACCAGACTCTCCGCACAGAGCAGCCACCTTGGAAAGGGGCCCCGCAGGCTGCGGAGCAGGTGGTTTGTGGCGATTAGTCATTGAAAGAAACTGCCAGCCCCAAGAGAAGACCGAGTCTGTTCTATTTAATGAGAGATGGGACTTGGCTGGGCTGAGTGTGCCTCTGACAGTGAGCAGTCAGTACAGGGCAGAATTCGCAGCTCCATGGCCAAACCCGCTGCTACTGCGTAAGGTTTCTACATTAAACTATAGGTGGCCTTTTTTAAAAGCAGACTGTTTTATAAGTCACATGGTGCTGTCTAGACTGCGGAGCATTTATGAGCGTGGCTGCTGTGTGCCAGACACACACACCTGAGCCTCTTGCCTGAAGCCCGCCCTAAGCATGGGGCCTGGGGTGTGGTGAGACATGTGATTTAAGGAGCCTGGTCATGCACCCTAAGCCTCTGCTTCTCTGCTCGATCCTTTGTAGACGTGCGAGTTGGAAAACGGGGGAGGTGGCATTACTGTGCAATGTCACACATGTCTGCATAGAAAGAGGAGTGACATCCTTTTTGTTGTAATTTTTTTTCTCATTGCCCGTGCATCTCCATCACTCCTTGCCTTGACAACATGATGGACATGTCCTCCTGCATGTGTAGCCTGGTCAGGGGCAGGTGCCCAAAAAGAATGAACAGTCACAAATCCCGAAGGCTGAGGTCATGAGCCCTGACACTGCATTTCCTTGTTTAGCTGGTAGACATTTACAAGAAGGACATTGGGGTGACCCCTGGGTTGCTTTATGGGTTCAGGTTCCTGTCTGGTGTGAATCCGAGGATGCAGGAACCAACTGAACTAACAATGGCTTCGGCTATCCTGAGCTTCCCATTTTAGGTGACATGCTATCCCAAGACCAGGACGGTGCTGTCCAGTCTTGTCTTCCCTTGGGGAAAACAAGCGCAGTCTCCACGTGTGAGACCTCCACTTGCTGTGTCTCGAGGAGCCAGGAGGAATTCAAGGATCCACTTACAGGACACTGAGTAAAAGTGACTGGCATTTGCTGAGCAGCTTACCTGGTCCAGGCGTGTCTGAGGCATCTCACATGCAGGGTTTGCAGGGCCTGTGAAACAGACTCTGTTACTTCCTCACAAGTGGATGAGGAAACTGGAGCATGGGGAAGCTATGCAACCCACTCACGGCTACACAGCTAAGAATGGTTTTAGCCAGGTCACCAAGCCATGGCTCTAACCTTTACCCCATAATATCTGTGCATTGGCTTAGTTTATCCTTCATCTTCTTGAGGCCGAGACCCATTTAGGGGCTGTGGTCCTGGGTCTCCGTCCTCTACACTTTAAAAAATGTCCTTTTTGGCTGTCTGGGTCCTAAACAAACAGACCTAGTGTGCAGCAAAGAAGAAAGGAAAGAGAACTCGGTTGTTAGCTAACATCTTGAAGACTGGAGTGGGACGGGTACAGACCGGGGCGGGTGACGTGGCTGAACCAGCTGGAGGGAGGCATGACGCAGAAGCGCACATGGTAAGGCTGCCAAGATCCACGCACACTGAGCTCTTCACAGTGTCTTTAGATGCTCAGTGAGTGCTGACTCTTAGGATTGCTGGGACTGTCTTCCTGGTCTGCTGCCTGGGGAAGGGCAGTCTCTGCAGTGGAGCCCAGCCTGGGGAAGGGCAGTCTCTGTAGTGGAGCCCAGCCTGGGGAAGGGCCATCTGCAGTGGAGCCCAGCCTGGGGAAGGGCGGTCTCTGCAGTGGGGAAGGGCAGTCTCTGCAGTGGAGCCCAGCCTGGGGAAGGGCCATCTGCAGTGGAACCCAGCCTGGGGAAGGGCCATCTGCAGTGGAGCCCAGTGTCTGCCCTGGCAGCTGCACTTCATCAGTGGTTTCTAGCTTTTGTTACCCCCTGACTTCCCACCACCCCGTTTGAATTGGGAGCAGAAATGGGCCTCTGGCATGTAGCTTTTGTAGGAGGGACAGTCATCCTGGTTATTAACAGTTGTGAAGCCTGGTTGTTAACAGTCTGCGGCACCGAGTGGGGCTTGATTAGGATGTGGACACTTTCCTGTATACCCGGCTGGAAGTATTGCCTTGGCAGTGGCACCATGACCCTTGGCCTGCCTGTCGCTGTGCTCTTGCAGGGAATGAACAGAGAGCTCATGTTCTAATGTATTAGAATGCCCCACCTCTCTGACCCGGGAAGATGAAGGAATGTATTGCTGTTGTGATTTGACAATGGGGCTTCCTTGAGGCTATGTTCAGCTTCAAGCACAACCAGAGGGGTGCTTTCTGTCCTTGGACGTCTTTAGTGTTTGAAGGAATGTAGAAGTTGGTCCAGCAGCCTCCCACATCCTCCAGGGCCTGTGTGCTCACTGTCTGCTTCATCTAGGAATCAGCTCCCAGGATACAGGCCTCACGCGGCCAAAAGAGAGCTTCCCAGTCATGGTTTTCCATCTGATGCAAGCGGAGGAGGCTTTTCTTGCTGCGTAGTGAACGGGGCTGTCATGAGGGCCTGAGCAGCTGAGCCTGGCACTATGGTTACAGGGGGCCTTGAAGTCGGAATGTGCATTCATCTGTGCAGGGCCCACTCAGGATGGGGGTGCTCCATGGGTTCCCCAGCTGGGCACCCCTATGTGTTACACCTGTGCCACTCGTGATTACTTGTGGATAGGATGCCAGAGACCAGAGGTCAGCTTCTTCATGTGCGTGTGTGGGCAGCAGCATCTAGTGCGTGTGCCCATTTATTAAATAAAGAGTATTGTGAACGTGTGCAAGTGTGAGTATTGCTCAAGTGATCATGTGTGAGAACATGCATGTATACATGTGTATGCTTGCGTGCATGTGAGTGTGTGCTTGTGCATGTGTGTGTGCATGTCTTTGTAATGGTACTTGCCTGGGAAGGTAGGAGGTAGGAGGATGCAGGAAGGATTTAAAGTCTAGGAAGATGTGAACGAAGCCTAGGTTGCAATCTTCAGAATCAGGGAACTCATTTTGGGATGGGCCACACAGTGATTTTTGTTTGTTTTAAAGTCATCACTACAGCTTCACAGTGAACTACATGCTTAGAGTTTCACCTCCCATGACCATAATTGGCCCTTTGTCCCCCCTCTTACTCCCAAAGAATCAAGACTCATAGAATAAATGAATTGCGCCTGGTCAAACAGCCACTGCTTAAAGAAGAAGACCCAAACACCACGCTGTTTATAAATGAAGGGTATGGCGGGGGTCGCCGTGGAGCGCTCTTGTGATGGCTGTCAACTTGGCCAACAAGCAACATCTGCATTTATTCTCCACCCCACCCCCAACAATGGCTGATTTGCGACTGTTTAGTTCTCTGAGTAACATTTCATTTCCTGACTTTGTAGGTCGCTATAAAATCCATCCGTAAGGACAAAATTAAGGATGAACTAGACATGGTTCACATCAGACGAGAAATTGAGATCATGTCATCTCTCAGCCATCCTCATATCGTCACTATTTATGAAGGTCAGTAATCCTCTCCCTACTTCTGTTCTAGTTACCATTCACATACCACTAGTTACCATTCGCACAGCACAGGGCTGGCCACTCCTGTACTGGTTACCATTCACACACCACTAGTTACCATTCACACAGCACAGCGCTGGCCACTCCTGTACTAGTTATCAATCACATAGCACAGCGGCCTGGCCAAGACTGAGGTAATTGCCCTTCTGGGCAGGAGCCAAATGTTTTACTTCATGATACAAAAATAGCCAAGCATTATCTCTTACTCGGTTACCGTGAATGCAGCCGGGTTCATGTGGGGCAGCACGTGGAAGGAAGCATCTCAGGCTGCTGCCTTCTTCCCTCTTCCAAGTTCCTTCGCTTTGGCTGTTGCTAAGTAACCTGTCTTGATGAAAGTGAGTATGTCAATGCCATTGTCATTCCTTAAACTCATGGCCACTTTCCGATGCAGAGATCCCCGGGTCACCTTCTGAGTTGGCCACAGAGGCACCAGGAAGAGGGCCTCGGAGGCTTCCCAAATGTAGTCCAGCTGTAGCTGGTGTTTATAAACTACAGGGCATGGAAAAGCCTGTAAAACACCGAGCTTCAGTTTAGCTTTGGTCCTTCACAGGAAGAAATAGAATGTCTGAGCCTCCTTTTCATACTCTGTAAAGACATTATACACACTGACTGTTTATTACTGCAGAGACTGAAATACAAACGTCAGAGTCAACAATTTCTCTCCTCACTGACGGTTTGACAAATAATTATTACCTTATTTCTCTCTGTGTGTGAGGTTTTATTCAGGGTTAGATCACACTGCTCAGGTTACTGTTTTTGCTGGCTTTTATTGTTTTATATCACATATCTCTGTGTCAAATCAAGATTTCCCATAAAGACATTTTACAAGGCTTTATAATATTTCATTTAGGAACATACCATGATTTATTGAATCTAATTTCTTTTGCCAATCATTACTGTTACTCCATATTTCTGGTTGTTATAAACAGGACTTTATTGACCTCCATTTATATATTCATATCTGATTATTATCTTATGAAAAATTTTACTGCTTTTAAACCTATTGAGTCCAATGTTTCCCCAATACACATAAATATATGTAAATAAATGTATTTTAAGATCAATTTTAAATATATTTAGTGTATTTGTATACATATAAATATATATTAAAGTATAAAATATGTATTTATGTATATTGATTCTTTTGAGATAGGGTCTTACTATGTAGCTTTAGCTTGTCTGTAGCTCATAGAAATCCTCCTGCCTCTGCCTCCTGAGGGATGGTATTAAAGGTGTGCACCGTCACCCTGGCCTCCCCAAAATATTTTTAAATGTTAAGTCAGAAAAAACTAATTTCTTTAAAAACTAACTTCCTTTTCATTTCGGGTCTATAAAGATGTACCAGGTAAAGGAAGCAAGATGGCGGCCCTAGATTTTTAGTTTTCCCTCATCTGTCTCCTTCATCTTTTCTCCCTGTTACTTCTCATCGAGAAGTCAACACTGGAAATTCCTCTTCTGCTTTTTTCAATCTCAGGATTTTTTTTTTTGTTTGTTTGATTTCCTCCAGACTTGGGTTTAAAATACTTTCATTTTATTACGTGACTATCATTGTGTGGGTAGATGTGTGTGAAGACAAGGAGACTAGAGGAAGTGTCAGATCCCCTGGAGCTGGGATCGCAAGTGATTGTGAGCCACCTGCCATGGGTGCTTGGGATCAGCCCTGGGTCCTCTGCAAGAACAGACTGCTTTCCTGCCCTCTGAGCCATCTATTGCCCGAGGATGGGATATTTTAACCTGAAATCACATAGTAATTTTACAAACACCCCTTCAGTGACTTTTGAGGTCAGCAGCCTCCGAATCATTTAGAGATGAGAAGAAATGAGGCATAGGCCCTTGTCTGGCACCACAGGATGGGAAACTCTTGGTGCAGGCAGCCAGGCCAGGCCAGGCCAGGTGAGGCAGCCTGCAGTTCAGCAAGCTTGAATACTGTTGGCTCTGGTTAAGAGGGCCGCATATGTAGCAATGGATCAGACTTGCATCATAACAAGGAACTACAAGACCACATAGATGAAGCGTTAAACATGGAGGCTGGGGCCAGCTCGGTGGTGGGACACTTACCTGATGTGTGGTTTTTGTTTTTAAAGTATTGTGTAGTCGGGTAAGCAGCATATAGTTAGGACCACAGAGACTTTACTGATAGAAACTTCCGTGCAAATGTGGTTTTTCGAGGGAAAAATTAGATAAATAGAAATCCACCTTTAAAAACAAATCTAAACTTACCTGATGAAGGAGGGGCTTCTGGATATTAGAAGTGAGTAGATATACAAATGTGGGTGAGAGTGAATTTATTAACTTTTTGAGGGGTTTACTCTGTGTGGGCCTGTTGCCATGGGAACCCAGAAACCAAAGGGAAGGATGCCCTGTGTAGTATGGACTAGGCTGAGCATGGCTGTTTCTGGGTTGTGTGGCCTCACAGAGTGAGTGATCAGAGTTGGCACCCAGCATGGGGTTCTCAGGTTTCTTATTTAGGAGGCCACAGGCAGTAACTGACATCATGCATGGAGAACCTGATTTCAGATCAGCATCAGGGATGCTGGGAACTAGACTGGACCAGTGGGGAACAGGAAACCATTGGCCTCCCAAAGGGAAAGTCCGAGACAAACCCTTCCTTACTGGAGTTGTGTTGGTCATGGTCTGTCCCCTTTTGCAGGGTCCTAGAAGAAGAGAAACTCTTGCATTAAAACCTTGAGAGCCGGTTTTAGACAGTCAGAGGAGAGCTTGAGTTTCAGGCCACACATACCTACCAGATGGGCATGGCAGGGTGGGGATGCAGCTCGGCGGTAGAGCACTTGCCAAGGATGCTTGAGGCCCTGCAGTGCCCTAAAAAGCATGGTGACCACTGTATCTCTCTCATAGGGCTCTTAGGATTAGATGGTGCAGCATACACAGGAACTCAAAAAAGGTAATTAAGATGGGGAAATGCAGTCACCTCATTCCATTACTGACTACATGCGGCTAGTGGCTTCCATACTGGGTAGTGTAGATCTAGAACATTCTCATCACCCCAGAAAGTTCTTTTGAACAGTGCTGATATATGTTGTTTATGTATCACAGACATGGGTTACTTTTTATTTTATTTCTGAAGATAAGTCACATTCCTTTCATTGACTTTCTAGGAATTCTTGCCTGTCAATAAGTTAAATGTGTTAAAGACATCCCATTGGCTTGGAGTATTTTGGCTTGGCAAATAAAATTTGTTTTTGTTTGCTTATTTATTTGTTCCTTAGAATTTTCACCTTTCAGGTCTGCTCCTGAGGGGAAGGAACGCCATGTTTGGCACAAATGGTTGGATTAGAACCTTATGGTTCCAGAGGAAAATAGCATGGTTAAGTACCCACTGTGCCTGAGGCCCCAGCAGACCCTTCAAACACAAGAGTGAAGGAGGCGAGCTCCCGTCTTCCTCAGAGCTGGCGTGCAAGTAGGGTGATGGGAAACAGGCCGACTTGTCTGGCTGACTTTTGAGCTGAGTGAAGTTTGGCCATCCAGCTTTTGAGGCGAGTCCTGCATGGATGATGGGCTAAGCCCTCGGGAGAGCTGGGCTCTCCAGGCTAATGGAACAGCACACGCAGATGCCCAGCGGAGGGAAGCATTTATGTTGGTAGTGAGGCTCCCACACCAGGGACAGGCACAGTCCTCATGCTTGTGAGTCAGGCCCTTCACAACCAAGTCATCTCCCCAACCATATCAAAAATGTGCATGACCTTGTTATTATATAAATATATATACTGTATATGCACATTAATGTAGTGTATAAAATATAGTGATAGAGTGCAGAGGGTGTGTGCCCTGTGCTGCCTCACTTAGCCCTTGTATCTGAGAAATAAAAATCATAAACACACCACTTGCATGGCAAATTTGGCTTAGAGACAAAATTCATTTCCTGAAGCCGTGCCTCTTAATGAGTAGAGGGTTGAACTTTTGAACTCAGACAGTGACACTGACCTCGTATGGGGCCTGTGGTGGCCTGTGGGGACCCTCGTTGAGAGATAACATTGTCCGTGTGAGACACAGAGAATTCTGACTTCACAGGGGCTGTCTTCTGCATCCTATAGTACAGATTCCAGTTATATGTGTGTGTTAGACACTGCTTCTGCCCATGTCTTGAGAAGACGCCTGTAGCCCACACCTGTCGCCTCTCAGGGTGGTGTTTTCTAACTGTGAACTCTCAGGCCTGTGAATGGTGACTTTGCTGAATGGCCTCTGCTAGTCTACCAGATCTCCAGCTTAATTCCTCCCAATCATGTCTGTCCGGAAGCAGACTCTGGGGTGAATGTTCCTGTTGACCCTGTGGTGAGGATGATTTGCCCTCAAATTTGTCAAATCTGTGTAGATGACAGACAAACACCATCACTGACTTCTGCTAAGTCAGTAAGAGAGGAAGTCTGCCCTGTCTAGTGTGTGTGTATGTGTGTGTGTGTGTGTGTGTGTGTGCTGCCGGAGTGTGTGCTGCTAGTGTGTGTGTGCGCGCGTGCGAGCGTCGCCGGTATGTGTGATGCTGGTGTGTGTGTGGGGGCGGGGGGGCGGACGGGACAGGACAGGACAGGACGGGACAGGACTGGATGGGGTGGCATGGGTAACCTGACCTGGATTAAAGACAGAAATCTCAGGCAGCATCTCAGGGTGGACCCCTGCTTCCCACTCACAGGGATTCCATTCTCTCAGCAGGGAGGCAATTGACAATATGCAAAAAAGGCAGCGAAAGGAAGTGTAGGAGCTCTCAACTGGGTCTCCTAGAGTGGGAGAGATAAAAACAGATTTTTGTCTGTGGTTCTGATTTCAGGACTGAGTTCAGACTTCAAAGGCAGGCTGTCTCTCCCCACTTCCCCTTGGAAAGCCCAGGAAACCCTCGCTGGGGTTCCTGCGTCCCATCTGGCAGTAGTACTGCATTTGAAAGCAAAAGGGGGCCCAGAGAAGATGCAGCCTGGGCCTTCACTTGTGTT